TTTTCATTCTTAACAGCTGTGATTCCTCCTTTCTTAGGCAAAACATGGACTGGTGAGACCCATGTGCTGTCGGAGATAGGGTAAATCATGCCTGCATCAAGGAGCTTTATGATTTCTTTCTTTACAACTTCCTTAAGTTTTGGGTTTAATCTCCTTTGGGGTTCAATGGAAGTTTTTGTCTCATCCTTTAGATGAATCCTGTGAGTGCAAAGATTAGGAGATATGCCCTTGATATCATCAAGTGAATACCCAATGGCTCTCCTAAACTTCCTTAACTCTTTAACAAGAGAAAGGTTCCATCATCACTGAGGTGTTCATTGACTATCACAGGATAAGTTTCTTTAGGCCCAAGAAATACATACCTTAGCCCCTTGGGAAGTGGTTTGAGGTCTAGCTTGGGTGCCTTTAGCTCGGTCCAGTCTCCATCTCCAAGATCTGCTCCTGGTTCGCTAACAGTAGAATATGAGCCCTCGGTCCAGTCTCCATCTCCAAGATCTCCATCTCCACTGGCTTCTTGACTTACTGAATTCACAACTTCCCTCCTTAGCTTGACAAAGGGCTCATGGTGAGTATCTAGCTTACTTCCTTCAACAGCTGCTTATATTCTACTGCTTCCTTACTCAAATACCCATACTTTCCTGGTGCTCTGGTTAAAGCTGTGCTCAGATGATCCTTATTTTGCAGCTCTTCCATCAGTTCATTGCTCAAGTCTTCCATGATATCCATGCTGAAGATCTGCCCTTTAATCTTGGGCTTCTTCATGACTTCATTTATGTCATACTTAAGGATTATATCATTTCCCAAATGCAGCTCAATCTTGCCTCCTTTGACGTCTATAACTGCTCCAGTGGTGGCAAGGAAAGGTCTCCCAAGTACTAAGGGGTCCTTTGGATCAGCATCAAACTCCAAAACAACAAAGTCAGTAGGGACTTCAGTACTCCCAAATCGGAGATGAAGATTTTCAAGCAGTCAAATGGGATGTCTAATAGGGAGGTCAGCAAGCACAAGAGTTATCCTAGTTGGCTTAAAACATGTAAATCCTAGGCGCTTGGCAGAAGTAAGAGGCATCAGATTTACACTAGCTAAAAGATCACACAAACAGTTTTTGAATGTGAGGGGTCCAATGGAGTAGGGCAGAGTGAAGCTTCAAGGATCCCCTAGCTTCTTTGGCTCGGGAAGCTGCTGTATGATGGCACTAACTTCATGAGTGAGGACAACCATCCCTTGCATCTCATTCTGCTTATTTGTAATTGCATCGTTCAAGAACTTCTGATATTGAGGCACCAGCAAGAATGCATCAAGCATGGGCATGGTTATTTCCACATTTTCTATCTGCTTCTCAAAACGTTGTCTGTATTTCTCCACTAATTTCTCCTTGATTCTTCCTGGAAAGGGAAGTGGTGGCTTGTAAGGAGGAGGAACAAAGACAAGTTCCTTCCTTGTAGGCTGTATGGCTTCTCTTTGTGCTTCATCAACCACTTGTTTTCCTTTTCTGACACGCTCTGCCTCAGTTTTCCTTTCCATATCTGATTCAGGTCCAGTCTCTTCTTCATGAGTCTCAAGAGACACCCCCCCCCCCCCCCCCCCAACTTTGCTTCTCAATTTCCACATGGAGATGTTTTGGTGCTATAGGTCCTTGTAGCTTTTGCCACTCCTAGTTGTGATTGCCTGTACAGATTGCCTTTAAGCAGAGCTAGCTCATCACCAACTTTCTCAAACTTCTGTAGTAGACATTCTGTACTCTTTTGATGAGCAAGGATCTCAAGTTGATGTGCAGCCTTCATCTCTGCATGAGCGGCAAGTAACTGCTCAAGCAGTCTAGTTGTGGTTGTATCAGGCATAAATGGTGATGCTGTTGAAGGACTAGGGACATCCTAAACTGGTGATGCTGCTACTTGATGTTGAGGAACAAACTCTGTTGCATACATACGATCTTGGTGTTCTTCATATGAAGGTGTAAACCTGTGGTTTTGTTGTATGGGAACACCAAGCTGATTGTATATAGGAGCATTCTCCCTTGTGTGCGCTTGAGTACTGTAAGCGTTGTATCTGTCATAGCTTGCATCCTGGTAAGGCTTATGAAGAAAAGTCTCTTATTGCTGCGCATAGTATGCTTCAGCTTCTAAGTTGTAAGCATGTCCAAGAGCTGATGTCTTCTCAGTTGTCTTTGGGGGGTGATGTAGAGATTGCTCCAGCAGCAAGTCTAGCTTAGCATTTAGTGCTAACATATCCAGCTTCGTTTGGTGATCTGAGGTTTCAGTATTCTTCTTGTAGCTGTCCTCTTGCTCATCCACATAGACACCATTACTCAAGGCAAGGTTTTCAATCAGCTGCAAACCATCATCAACTGTTGTACTCAAGAAGTGGTTGTTGCTAGCTATGTCTAACAGCATCTTAAACCGTGGTTACACTCCTATGTAGAATGTGCTGAGTAATGACTCTGTTGAGAAACCGTTATGAGGATAACACAATATGTAACCTTGAAATCCCTCCCATGCTGAACAGAATGGCTCACCTTGTTATTGTTTGAACCCTGAGATGTTCTGCCTTAGCGTAGCCGTCCTGGTAGAAGAGTAAAACTTTGAAAGAAACACTGTTTTGAAATCATCCCAAGAACATATTGATCCACAAAGAAATGATCTTTCCTACGAATGTGCACGTTCACCAAGAGAGAAAGGAAATAACCTCAGTTTGAAACCATCTTCTTCGATGCCATTGATCTTTTGTAGACTGCAAAGACTCTCAAAGCCGTCCAAGTGATCAAGCGGATCCTCCATAGATGTGCCATTAAAACGGTTGGCTTGTACCATTGCAATCAAACTGCTTTTGATCTCAAAGTGATGCTCTTGAGATGGTGGAGGGAGTATACCTCTGCGTCTAGTATGAAGGTAAGGAGCATCATGAGATCCTATGTGCTGTGCTCTTCTAGCAATCCGAGGCACTGGCCTATGTAACCTCTGAACTGGTGCTTCATCTTCTCTGAACTGAGCTTGATGAGCATGTATATGATGTTGTTGATCAGCCATTGTACCTGAGAAAACAGAGCAAGAAAGGTAAAGTGATTAGTAAAATAAAAGGTGATTAAGTTTAAACAAGAACCTAAACTCAAGAATCTAACAATCCTAGAATGACAACATCGCCAAATTGAAGAAGGAATTTTGCAAGTCTTAACTCAATCCCTCTCTAATCAGATGTAGTATAGAAGAGGTTTAATCAATCCATCTAGGAGCTAGAATAAAAGAGATCCAAGACACTAACTAAGCTTAACCATGTATGATAAAGTTGGATGATTCTAACAACCTAAGTGATCAAAGATGAAATGCATGCACAAAAGAGCAAACTAACAAGACTAAAGCAAAGTTTGAAATGCAAAAAGAAGCTAAATGCAACAGGAATCAAAGAAAGCAATGAACTAAATGCAAGAACTAATGAAAGCTAAAAGGCAATAACTTTGTGCATGGCAAGAAATGAACTAAGAATAACTTAAATGAAGCAAAACAAAGTGCAACTAAAAACAGAGGAAAACAGAACACAAAATGATGAAAAACAAAGAACAATGAGGCGCTGGTTCAAGGCTAGAGCAACGATGACTTGGGGATTACTTAGCATCAAACCTAGGGAGATCAAACTAATAACAAGCAAGACTCAAAATCAAGCCAATAATTCAATCAATTTGCAATCAGAGCAAAGATATGTAAGTAATGCACATGTCAGACCCACTTGTGATGGCGTATTTGTACAAAACCAGCATAGCATGATAACACAAGGCTCTTAAAGACCAAACAATGTACTAAGATGCAATATAATCTTCTAAGCAATTATCCCAAGCATAGTTCTTTCAGGCATTTAAACACACACTTGTGATTCAGCAAACACGTATGATCTATTTCACTTAAACAAGCTACTCAAGCCTTGAGAACAACTAAGCAAGGTAAATCAAGCAATGATTAAACCAAAACTCCCTAAGCTATCAACTAATCATCCCCAAATCCGCTCCAACCTCAAACCATATTAAACTACTCACGACACATCATGAAATCAACAGAAACAAGTAGAAAAGACAGATCAAACCTAATTAAACAAGAACTAGAAGAAAAATAACAAAGGAAGTGCAAAACTTTATTAATAGAGTGATCTAGATCAAAATCTCATCAAATTCTCTTTTGAGTTTCCCCTCAGGTCAAAAAATAAGATAAAGAACAAGATAAGTGCTAAAAAAATATAAGGTTTAGCTTAAATAAGGCAAAAAGATAAGGTTTGACAAAAAGTAGAAAAATCTTGGTCAACTCTCGGCGTTGACGCATCGGGGTGCAAGGGAAGGTATTCTGCTCGATGTGGTCAGCTCGATATTGAGGTGGGTTCTCGGTGTTCTCCTCGATGTTACACCTCGATATGCCCTGTACATTCGTATCGGTCTGTACGGCATGCCTAGCTCGGTGCACTTCCCTGGTCAAATTCTTCTTCCTCGTCCCACGTTTCACATCGAGCAAGCTTCAAGAATGTTCTGCTCGATGCTGGACCTCGATATGGATAAAGAGTTTGCAAAGTTGCTTCTTTGGCATCTCCTTCGAACACTAGTTGCTTCCATCTCCTTCCCAACTCTAAAACTCTCCCAAAAACACCTGAAAATCACCATAGACATGCATATGTATGCAGATGTATGCATTCTTAAACTAAATGCATGTAGGGTTAACTATAAGTGCAAATGAGTCTAAAATGCTATACTCTGATACAAAAACAGAGGAAAAGATGCATGAAATGCAGCCTAAAATGGTCTAATATAACAAGCTATCAATTGTGATGGTGGTGGAAGCTCAGGCAACGAACAACATACTTTGGTAGACGCCAAAAAAAGAGAGAAGAGGATTTTTCATCACCACACTCCTCAACAGATCAAAGACTTGCTGCGTAAAATCTTTATTAACTCTGTTGATTTCAAAAAACTATTACGATTGTGGATTATAACAGATTACTTTTTGATTTCCTAAAAATGAATATAGCTATTTCAAAAAATGTCCTCAGGTGGGGGAATCACAGCGACACAGGTTATGCAAATAGCTGAATCTCGAGCTGGACCAGATCAAATTTTGGTTTCAGAACAAAAGAACTCAAAGCAAAGTATATATCTACGCAGATCTTTATAAAAAAATAATCTTATAATTTATCTCAACAAATTGACATTTTTCTAAAATAATTTTTTGATATGCAATATAGGCTCATGATGAAACATCTTCTAACATATTACTTCATGGTGAAAACGATAAGATCCGCTGTGAGAATAAAGCAATGCTCGAGGTTTTTAAGAATGTGCTTTGTCCAGATTTTAGAGGTCCTTCTTTGGTAGAGACGAACGCGAACGCAATCTCCAAAAACTGCGTTTGGAAAACACTGTTCTCAAAGAGAAGGTAAATATTTTATTTCCATTTATCTATAATATTACACTATTATATTTTCGAATCCTTTTTTTAAATAGTTTATTTGTAAATTTTAATGTGAAAATGGGACCTTCCATAGGAATAATTGTAAGAAAGGTTGACTAATGTATTATCAGTCTAGCGTTAGTCTGCATTTAGTTTACCTTTAGTCTGTTATTGATCTAAATTTAGTCTACTTTCAGTTGTATAATGAATTAATCAACCATCAATCTATATTAAATCTGCATTTAATCTATCATTAGTTTGCAAAAATATATTTAAAAGATAATGCTAGTATTTATCAAATATTCTTTAAAGGAGCCTACTTCTATAATAATTTCTCATTATATGTCATTTTAAATAATTTTTCTCTATATTTTTTGGATATTTGTTTTATCTATCATCAAGTTTGTCTTTTAACCAGATGATAAAATGATATGTAGTACAAATATACTGTGTATTGATTGTGAATATATATATATATATATATCAGATAAGTAGATAGAAATCATTATAATAGTGAAACAATGGAGTAATAATATTAACCATGAAAAATGCAAAAAAAAGTAATCGGTACTAAATGTTTTTTTTGTTTTTGTTAGCGTGACGAACTCGCCAACTTTTTATCCAAGAACAAGCACCAAGACACAATGGTGGGCTCATCAGCTTCTGCTGAGAGATAGCAAATCGTTGAAACTCGCAACTCGTACGGAGCTAATCCAAGCAATCTATTGTTCGAGCGAGGTAGCTCATTAGGACCACAAACTTCTCAAACCATCCAAACACAACCACTATCCGAAATGGGTGAATGAGAAGTGGTCATAGTGACTGCTTTGGTCAGCTCTACTATTCGAATGATCAAGCTCTTGTTCACTTGTCTTGATCATGCTTGAGTGAGGGAATATCCACTGGATGATTTTCTCTCCTTTTGTTGTTGTTGTTGTTATTATAATCATCGATAGAGTTCAAACTTGTTAACAATATTTGAGCCATCTCATAAGTCTTATCCCTACTTGCTGTATTGTTTTTCAAGAGATTAATAATTTATTCATTTGATGAAATCAAATTGTCAGCAAATTAACTAATTTTTGTTCTTATAATTAATCAACTGTTATTTTGAAAAACAATAATGCATAATATTGGATTCAAACCGACGACCCACCCTTTCTAGGAACCTTAAAATATTCTAGGGTTCTAAGTCTTTTGACTTTCACGTTTGCCACATGTCTTACATAAGAGCATCTCCAACCCACCTTCAGATCTTCAAATTTTAAGTTTTTTTTGTTTCCAACCCATGCTCAAATCTTTATATTTTTAAGAGCGTGAATAGTAGATTCTCAAATTAGAAGTTTCACTGTTCAAAACCTCAAACCACTTTTTACTTTTCATTTTACTCCTTCTAATTTAGTATATTTTACAGATAATCTAATTAATTTATTCTATTATCATACATCTCACACATATTTTAAATATATTTTTTAGAAATTTAACTATCATATATTAAATCAAATAAACATACTAGTTTTTGTAAACACAAATATATAAAAATATTATACAGAAGAAAACAATTTCCCACAACAATAATATTACATTTCTTCAATGAAAATTTAAAATACGCTAGAATAATAGATATTATATATGAAAATTAAATTAAATAAACACATAAATATAATACAAATTAAGATTCATATAAAAATACTAGTATTCAAGTAATTTTGATCCTCAACCTCCAAGATCACGAAAAACTTGTCCATAAGAAAATGGCATAGTTGAAGATTGGTCTTGTTGTTCTTGAGTTCTTTTTTGGATGATTTTTGCTTGTTTTGATCGAATAAACTTGTGTGTATTATGACATCGATAGAGTTCAAACTCGTTAACATTATTTGAGCCATCTCATAAGTCTTGTCTCTACTTGATGTATTTTCTTTCAAGAGATTAAAAATTTACTCATTTGATGAAATCATATTGTCAACAAATTAATTAAATTTATTTTTATAATTAATCAATCTAAATTTTGAGGACCATAATGCGAAACTTAAGTTTTTTTAAGAATGAATTTGAGGTTATACCATTGAAGCAATGGATCCTTAAATCCTTATTTTGAGGATATACCACCCTCAAAATGCAGTTTGTGGTTGGAGATGCTCTAAGACTAAATGAAAAAAAAATAATAACTTCCATTTTTACTCTTATTCATATATGAATTTTTGATAAAATTTAGTAATTTGTCTTTTCTTTCAAATTTATTTAGAAAATAGAACAATAAGAGAGGTAATATATATATATATATATACTGTATAAATTCTCACATGGCATGATTTATATGTTTTAAGTCTTTTCTTTGTCTTGACTCGTAAAGAGAAACATACTTTCATGTTATTTGTTTTAAAATAAGTTTGCTTACTTCACACGACGACATCCAGTTAGAAATAATAGAAAGAAGAATAAATGTTTGTGTATATTAACTGTCGTTTAGGATGAATGTTTGTGCATATTAATATATTAAGTGAAGAACTACGTACTGAACATGAATTTTGGCCAAAAGAAACAAGTTTGATCGTTGTTTAGATTAAATAATGGTTGATCCGATGAATTCTGGTTGACTTTAACTAATCCAAGTATAGAATTGGCTGTTGGGTATACAATCGTAAAAGAAATACAAAATTATAACCTTAAATGTTGATTCTGTCTGATAAGACCATTGGTTATATGATAATTCGTAATGTTTGTGAAACTGTGGATTGGATCCTAAATTAAATTTAGCGGACCAAATCAAAATAGATCAAATAATCATAATTATTTTAATGGTAAACTGACCAAAGTTGATGAACAGTAAATGTACTCATGGCCGAGATTAAGATCCTATGTTCGTTGAATTATATCATGAACTAATCAGTTTAGTTTAGTTTTCACTGAAAATATATTTTATTTTATACTATTTTACTAAAAATGATATTAATGATTAACTCAAACTTTTCCAAGTACTAAAATTTAATAGAAAGTTGAATATGTGACAGTCATTTTAACAAAAATATTTCCATATAATAATAATATTAGATATTGCCAAACTATTGGTTTTAGCTAAAACATTATAATAAAATTTGTAGATTTATTAGATATGAAATAAAAACAATTTACTAGATAGATATTGAAATTTATTCATTTTTTATGTTTATTTTAATTAAAAAAAAACTATAACATTTTAAATTAAATCTAAACTAAAATAAAAGATATTTATTAAATTGAGTTGAGTTTATCCTCAAACATATATTTGACCAACTATAAAACTGAAAATAAATCTCCTCCCAGTAAAAATGCTACTTTATATCTCTGACTCTGATATATATATTTGAATAAAATAAAATAAAAACTTACCTGTTAACATATAATGATATCCACTCCAATAGTAAATATCCAGAATTTCCCTTTATTTGTTTTTTTTATGAACCTCTCTTACAACCACATTTTTTCCATACAAAATGCTAATTGGCTTATGAATTAACAAAAAAAAACAACATTATTACAAAAAAAAAAATCTAGTGGTTAATCGGAGAATTACGTACTTAACTTGAATTTTAGCCAAAAGAAACAAGTTCGATCATTGTTTAGATTGAATAGTGGCTAATAGGATGATTTAAACTAGCTCAACTATTCAAACATGGCATTGGTCGTTGGGTGTAAACCTAAAAAAATAGTAGCTCGGTAACACTATATTTGAAAAGTAGTTTAAAAATTTTATGTTTGAATAACACATAATTAATTATTTTAAATCTAAATTTTGTTCGAAAAAACCCTTTTAAGTGTCTTCATCATCAAGCTTAAAAGTATGGGTTGGATGGATTTTGTTATGAATAGGTCAATCTAGAATAAGAGATGGAAATAACCATTGAGCTTGAATCTTGGTGAAGAGAAATAAATTTGATTGGATGTTGATCGGATGATTTCTGGTTGACTTTGACTAATCCAAGTATAGAGTTGGCTGTTCGGTGTAAACTCGAAAAAGAAAGACAAGATTTTCATCTTTAATGTTGATTCGGTCAGATAAGACCATTATTGATGAGATTATTCATAATGTTTGTGTGTAACTGTGGATTGGATCCTCAATTAAATTTAGCGGACCAAATCAAAATAGATCTAATAATCATAATTATTTTAATGATAAATCGATCGAAGTTGATGAACCGTAAATGTACTCATGGCCGAGATTAAGGTCCTATGTTCACTGAATTCTATTATGAACTAGTGAGTTTAGTTTAGTTTTTCACTGAAATATAGTTTTTGAATAAAAAAACTTCAAAATTCATGTTTTTTTATTCAAACCACATCAGTGTTGATATCCAGTTGTTGACAATCTGGTTCACCTAAAAACGGTTCATCAACTCATACACTACTATCATAGTCCGACCATTTGCAACATCACTAAGTAGTAAAACTGTCCACATAGTTTTGCAAGTTTTTAGATAGATGAAAAGATGATATTTATTCTAGATATTGTTGTAATAGATTCTTAAGCATATCTTTAAATAATTACTTTTCTTTCCAATTTATTTTCATTTACATTTAAATTTTTTGTATTTATATTTATGGAATGAACTGATAATATAATAAACTAACTAATATTTTATTTTATACTATTTTACTTAAAATTGATATTAATGATTACCTCAAACTTTTATAAATAATAAAATACTAAACTTTAATAGAATGTTAAATATGTGACAGTCATTTTAAAAACAAATTCCATATAATAAATAAAATTTAATAATAATATTAGATACTGTCGAACTATTGGTTTTAAAATTAAAACATTATAATAAAATTAATAGATTTATTATATATGAAAATAACTTTTTGTTAGTAGGTAGATGCTGAAATTTATACATTTTATGGTTATTTTAATTTTTTAAAAAAATCTATAGTATTTTAAAATAATTGTAAACTAAAAGAAAAACTAAAAGAAAAAATCTATAGTATTTTTTATTTTTATTT